TTCGGCTTGCTGAACATGGGACTATTCCTCACAAATGCTCAAACCAAACTGCTATACCGATTTTGAAACAAGAAAAATGTGAGGCTTGTGCAGGGAAAGCCACTAAGAAATAACCAGAAACATACTCGACTGAGTCTGGATATTGCCAACGAAATACATCCTTTATATTCTTCCGGCCATTTCTTTGAGAGTGCTTCAATGAGCGAGGCAGCTGATGTAACAACGCCCTGAAAATCACATTAAAAAGTGCCGAATAGTTCCACCTAATTGTAAATAAAATAAATAGCGACTAGCACCAGGATAGTCGATGCGACCACGCTTTTTGTGTGTTTTCGTTCAGCGGACGTTTGCCTGTCATTAACTTTCACTGTTTTACACTCCGATTTGTGCAAAAATATCCGATGTGTTTCCTAATCCTTCAGCAACGGAATTTCCCATTAAAAATTTTACGCACCGATGCGTAAAACGTAAGCGCACATGAACGCTAAATTTGAAACCTTCGGATAGCATGCGGACGGGGAAAATCCTTCCAAAATTTTACCTCCCTAATTCACCCAGAAGACTTCTGTGTCAGTGACATTTGCGCAGCAGCCGTGCATGAGACTTAGACATACTTGGGAGCTAAATTCGCGCTTGTGAGTTTTTACATGGACAGAAAACATTTTCCTGAAATCTTAGCCACCCAACTTTCCTAGCTTCCGAGTTAGCAAAGATTTCAGCCAAAAGCTTCACGCCGCCGTACGTGAGACCAATACGTATGTCAGGACTGAATTTAAAAAATTTGGATCAAATGTGCATGTGCAACATCTTTTCCAAATCTGAGCTTTCTAACCTTTCTGATTGCCGAGTTTGCGATTTCCCGGCAAAATATTCGCAACACATGGAACCTAGATGTACGCAAAAAGTGAATTTAAGTTTGCGGAGTCGCACATGAGCAGAGGACAAAATCCTAATATTTCAGCTTCCTAGCTTTTGTAATTTCATGAGACAGTAATTTTCGTGACAAAACCTTCACTTGTCCGTACGCGTGTCCTAGGGGTTTGTGGAAGTCGAGTTTGAATTTGTGGGGTCGCAAATGAGCAGGGGGCATTGCCGAAATATTTCGGCTTATTAGCTTCACTGATTCGTAAGTTGAAAATGCAGGACAAAACGCACAGGAACACGCACACAGCACAAAACGCATTATTTGTACAAGCGTGTTAATCGATAAAATGCCTCAACACAGGTAGCGTATCCCGTTTTTATTCAGTAAAAGGACGAGGTAAGAGATGCGCCTCCGCCATGCGCACACAAATATAATAGCACCTACGCAAAAAAAAAAAAAAAACAGCAGCAAAGTGAACTCGCCCGCTCCCTCGAATTCACCCCTTCCCCTGTGATGTCAAAATATGACCCCATAATTAACTTCATTTTCCAACAAACGTTTTTAAGCGCATTTTTCCAAATCCATCCTCAATTTCGCTCCTACCGGCTAACTTGCAAGCTCTTTTTCTGGCGAATTTTACACTACTAAAATTCTATTTAGCACTTCTACGTGCTCGCCTATGCAACGTCACCCAGAAGCCGAAGTGAGCAGCCGCACCGTCGCGCTGCGATGCAGTCAGAAGAGAACTCACCAAATGCTGATCATTTAGCAGGTGGACAATGCGTGATGAGAATTCACTGGGCGGTAAAACATCCGGACACGTCCTGAATAGCTTCAGCAAGCAAAGTGCTGCGCTCTGTTTCACAAAATCGATGGTATCGCTGAAACAGAAGGGCCTAATCTGCCACTGCATTTGACATCGGAGAGGTCTAGAAATCATACCCGGAGACGAGCAGTTTTGGCAAATCCGGAGCAAATGCTTCGGCCATATCTTTGCTACCAATATTGGAAATGCACTGCAACGCCAAATTAACGTGTACCGGATTGCGGGACTGGAGATCGTTCTTTATTGACTGGATGATCAGTTTTATCAGATCCGAATTATTGTTTATCAGGACCGAAATGAACAAATAACCCTGAAAGTGCATAACAAGAAAAAAAAAAAAGTGCAAACAGCCGGATGAACTGCTCGGAGGTCTCAGCATACAACTTACAATCTGCTTCTCAGTATACTTATTCGAGCTCAACAGATTCGTTGCTTCCATGTGCCCGAAGTCGATGTCGTTGCCAAGCAGGAAGATGAACAAAAGCTTGCACACATATTTCTTCTTCTGATAACCATCAATCATTTTGTCACCTACAATCAGCGCAGTGCATGCAACAGGCAGCAAGCAGACCCCCGCCTCCCGTGCATCAGGAGCAGTGCTCGAAAAAAAAAGAAAATCCGAGTAAATTTGCGAAAAAAGGAATGCAAGCAACTGAGAAGCGGGAAGGCGTGCTCACGGCCCGCCATCCAGTCCTGCTCAGTGGCAAACGAAAAGAAGAAACCTTTGAATTTGCTGCGAATATTGGCCAACTCGCGGTTGATGCGCTTCAGTTCCGCCTCTTTGCTCTTGCAGTTCCGGATATCGGAAATGAAAACGGCAAGGCCGCGCATCCCGTCCCCCTTCACAGCCGGCATTTCCCGCAGCTGCGCACAGCACTGAATTCAGCAAGCATCAATCCGCAGCAATCCGGCCAAAAACAACGTGATGCCCTGAAGAAGGAGCTCACCTCGTGCGCTCAACGCGTCGTCCAGCTCTCTCGAGACTGCGCTGCGTACAACACCAACTCACCGATGCAACATCCTCCCTCGCCCCCCTGTCCACTCAGGCCGCACGCAACGCGCACCACTCTCTCGTCCCAGCATTCAGATGGTCAGCATCTACTGCAGCTAAATAGTCCCCGAAATGAAGCACGCAACTGGCGTGTCAGATCCCGACTGGCCCAGCCCACTCCACCAGAGCCAAAAATTACTAACGTCACCACCGGCTATCCCCGAGAATTTATTTAATTCATTCAACTTGTTATTGCAGAGACAAGAGAGAGAGCAGAGAACCTGGCAAATTGCCAAAAAATCCCATCAACATCCAAGCCCCCCCCCGCACGATTTTTAGCAGCTTCTAAAACTCGGCTCGGCCGACGCCATACATAGCTTGCGAAAATTTTTCTCGCTGGCAGCGGGTGGGATTGTCCTGTGGCAGTGGCAGGAGTCTATATGCTCCAAGGGGTGGAGCTGGGAGGTGGGGAATGGTGTGATGTGGGTTTCGTTCGAGGTAGAGGAAGGGGCTAGGGTAGATGAATTTGGTGGCTACATGACGTAGATCCTTTGTCGTTTGACTAGTTAATGTACATTCAGGTGGTAGGAGGGGGAAAGGAATGGACGGAATGAAGAGAAAATGGGCTTCTACTCTTTTCCACGGATATCTGGGATAGGGAAAGAGTTAAAATATTGCTTCCTTCCAGAGTACTCTTATAGTGGGGATGGATAGGAGTCTAAATTTGCTTTGCAAGCGGATTTTGGGGACAGATTAAAGAAGGGTAACGAGGATATAAGTTAGGAGCCCGAGGCAAGAACTGGAAGCAGCAGTAAAGAGAAAAAGACAACACAGCACTACAAAAACAAAATTAAAGCAGGCCTGAGTCTATGAAGCAAAGTGAGAAAAACCTGAACCTATGGATAAAAAAGCTGGGCTTATGCGAGCGGAAATTCCTCTGTGAAAACCCGCTATCAGTCGGAACTGCCCTATTTATGAGCCTGACGCTTAGGCAAAGCTGACAGCAAATAATTTTAATGGTAGGATAAGAAATGAGTAATGAGAGTAGTAGACTGGATGCACAGGGATAGAGTCAGCCTTCTTTTTGTGAGAGTTTGAAGGCAAAAAGCAGAGGTGCACAGCTGCAGGCTGCCGAAGGCAGCACAATGAAATTGTGTGAAGTTTTTGTGTAATTTTAATTTTAGTTGATATGTGTTTATGTAAGATGTAAGGAAATAAAAAAGGAAATGTGAATAAGTTAAGATTAAAATCTGA